TTCACGTCCTCTTGAACTCTCTCTTCAAAGTTCTTTGCAACTTTCCCTCACGGTACTTGTTTGCTATCGGTCTCGTGGCAATATTTAGCCTTAGATGAAATCTACCACCCTCTTTGAGCTGCAATCTCAAACAACTCGACTCTAGAGTATAACGCATCGATTGCTTCATCACCCGTACAGGTCTCGCACCTTCTACGGATCATGGCCCCACTCAAGGGGACTTTGGGTGCATAAAACAATCGACTAAATATTTTGTTATACCTATACGCTACATTTCTAACTAATCAAAAAGATTAGTAGATTTAGCGCTGGGCTATTTCCCATTCACTCGCCGTTACTAGGGAAATCCTCGTTAGTTTCTTTTCCTCTGCTTAGTTATATGCTTAAATTCAGCAGGTAATCACGACTGAGTTGAGGTCACCGTAAAAAAACAAATAAAAATGTATTTTATTAACACATTTTTATTAATATATGTAGATTTTCACAAATTTCAACAATACTTCTGATTCGGAACGATGAATACACCACTACCACTATATTGTTTCAATGAATGAGCATTTAAAGTTTTACGGAATAAGTGAATAATAAAAATGGAATGAAACGTACAAAAAATATACCAAAACTTTTCGCGTACGTAGCCCATTCCACTTAAATTTATTCCCTTTAAAAATTTTTCTCTTCTAATGAAAACTTTTTTTTGGAAAAAAATCGCATATATGCAAATGCAAATTTTCCTCTTTTTTTTCATTTAGAGAGGAGAAAAATTTCGCTCATACATACACAAATGTGAAAACAAATCATAATAATAAAATCATTTCAAAACGGGTAATGTTTCATCTATATCACCGCACTACGACGCATTATACGCGAAAAAATATAAATATATCATACATCACTAACATACATATCATATATCTTACTCTCACATATACATACTATAATTTTGACAATCTAGCATATACATGCACAAATATACATCTACAACACCATACATGCGTAAAATGCTGTAAACGAGTAAAGATAGATGAGGATAAGTGATGAAAATTATACGAATAATACATAAGTAGTGATAATAACGATGTGATATGACGATTAATGATTACATTAACCATTTGTTTTTTCTGGTGAATATATAAAATAAAAAATATGCAATATAAAATTATTCACCACTTTATTCAATAATTAGGCCAAAGACTTGGCCACGGCCAAATCCTTGGCCAAGCCACAAAATCATTGGCTTACGCCCTGGACTATTTGCTGCTTTCATTCTAGGCCTTGGCCAAAGACTTGGCCACGGCCAAATCCTTGGCCAAGCCACAAAATCATTGGCTTACGCCTAGGACCATTTCCTGGTTTAATTCTAGGCCTTGGCCAAAGACTTGGCCACGGCCAAATCCTTGGCCAAGCCACAAAATCATTGGCTTACGCCTAGGACTATTTCCTGGTTTAATTCTAAGCCTTGGCCAAAAACTTGGCCACCGCCAAATCCTTGGCCAAGCACTAAATCATTGGCCTATGCCTAGAACTAATTCCTGGTTTAATTCTAGGTCTTGGACAAAAACTTGGCCATAGCGAAGTCCTTGGCCAAGCCTTGGAATATGACTTCAGGCTTGGCCTATGCCTAGGAGTTGTCTTTGGTTTAATCATAAGCCTTGGCCAAAACGAAATCCATTCCTCGGACTGAAATTTGGCATTCTCTATGTCAACATTGGGATAATCACATACCTGGGCTGAAGCGAAAGCCAAAACACAAGCCTATGGACAAGTCCAAGCTCCTGCAGAGGCATAAAGTTTCAAAATTTTACATGAAATCAATTAAAAAATAAATTGTTGTAGATTCCTTTAGATGCTATGCCAAAAAATATGCTTCAAGAATAATGCTATTGAAGAAAGTCGTCGTCAATATCATTTTTTTATTTTCCAATGAATATGTTGATGTTTTAGAGATTGGTATCTTTTCGACTCATGAAATTTTATTTCTACGGTGTAATTCACATTAACTAATATTTTTCTAATTTATTTATGCAAATTTTTTTCAAATTTCGCTTAATTAAATTTAAAACAAATAATTTGAATTTTTTTTCGGCTAATTTAATTGCAAGAAATTTTTTTTTATTAAAGATATTTATTCGACAACTGGTGCAAAAAAATAAGTGAAATCTTTATACAAGAAAAGTCTACAAGAAAGCGCTATCTTTTCAAAAAAAAGAAGTCGTATTAAAAATTAGACAGTATTAAAAAATGATGAGACTAATGAATGCGAGAGCAAAAAAAATATGTTGTCATATGAAGAGAGTGTCAAAGAAGCTGTCGTAAAAATTAGATAGCATTAAAAAGGCAAAAAACTTTGACAGGCGGTTAGAGTGAATCATGACTATATATGTATAGACTATGAAGACCGCAAATGAAGCTGGCGAAAAAAATTCATTAAAACTAAAATTTTTCGCATAAATTTCAGTTCCTAAATTGTGAATTCGATTCTCAGATGTCAATTGCAAGCGATTAGTGTATATCTATTTGGTGGACAATGTATCGCGAATATTCGCCATCTAAAATATGTTGCAGTGAAGCTAAGGTTTACAAATAGCAATCATTCACGCAATTTGTTGCGTATATTCATTCGCAAATTGTTCGATAGAATAATTTTTCATAAACATTCTCGAATTTTAAAACTTTAAAATATTAAAAAGATACAGAAAAATTTGGGCTTCTTCCGTTAGCATTAAATGTACTAATCTTCGGTAAAAAACTACTGTCCTTTATGCGAAGCCATTGCTTTCCAAATTCTCGGATAATTCATGCAATCAATTATATTTTATTGATTTTTTTAATCAATCAGTTTTATTTTATGAAAAACCTTGCCTAGACTAGCATTTCCTCAGAACATCGTCCTCTATTCCGATGTCCTTATACAAAAACCCTAGGCATAAGAGAAGCCTGAAGTCATATTCCAAGGCTTGGCTAAGGACTTCGCTATGGCCATGTTTTTGTCCAAGGCATAGACTTAAACCAGGAACAAGTTTTAGGCATAGGCCAATGATTTTGTGGCTTGGCCAAGGATTTGGCCGTGGCCAAGTCTTTGGCCAAGGCCT